GTGCAACCTGAATCTAATCACGAAGAAACATCAGACAAAACCAAACTGAGGTATATTCTATGAAATAACTGATCTATGACAGTCGAAATTTGTCAGTTATGAAAGTCAAGGAAAGGCTCGAAAACTGTTCCAGACTGAAGATAGAAGCAACATGACAACTAAATCTAATCGACATATAGACCCTTTCGATAAAAGGCAAACCTCGGTGATATAGGAGGATGTCCTTGTTTGTAAGAAATAGATACTGAAACAGTAGAGGGTGATTGGCCAGTAATTTGACAATTTACTCTCAAAGGATTCAAAAGAAAAAATTATTTTTGTACTATTCTTACTAAAAAAATTTAGATAAACTGAAAACTGAAAACTACTATCTACTTTTATCATCTTTGATACTAGTTTCACCTTCTGGATTTGACAGGTTTGTTTTTTTTTTTTTTTAACTAATCATCTGCTTTTTTGTTTTTTCTGAATTCCTGGGTTCCAGTGGGGTTGGAAGATCCTAAGATTTATGGAAATTCTCAGGAGTACTACCAAGATTAGGGACCTAGGCACTTACAGAAGGAAGAAAGAAAGTGTATTAAGAAACTGGAACCTACTATCATAAGGGCTATCCTCTGGATACATGCACACACAGATCTGCAGTAAATTTAAAGTAATTCTCTAGGAAGATAACTGCTATCACAAAGCAGTGGTAAAGCATACCACAATATGTAGCTTTGAAACTGTTTCTTTTTACCAGAAAACAGACAAGTCTAAAAGGCCATACTGCCACAGATACTTTTAAATTTTACTGTTTAATTTCTACATAGCAATATTTCAGAATGTACCATTTTTTTAAAGTAGTTATTCATAAAAGCAAGTAATGAAATATTAGCAATAGCTACAAGGATATTCTGGAATACCCTACCATTTCAAAGAACAGTTTCTTTAATGTTTTCCCTTGCTGGGTAAGAACTTCTTCGGGTGGGGCTGGAGAACACAGATTAACAAAGACACACAAATTCCTAGGCTGCATCCAAAACTTAAGGAAGGCCTTCGTAAACTGTTTTTAATAAATCCCCTAATGAAACCTTCTTTTAGGTTTTGTAAATACTACTCGTGCAGGAAACAGTTAACATAGCAGGCCTGAGACTGCTATCCATAGAAAGGTCGGCTTGCAAAGTTAGCTCTTGGCTGGCATCTGGTAACTTGGCTTTTGAAATGGCTCCCACCATTTCCAGACTGATAAGGGTGCCTAAGCTGTGTGCACAAACAATGTGGTTTATGATGAGTCCCTGCTTTTCCCTCTGGGAGTCTGAAATTTTTGTATGTGTTAAAGTAGGCGCCTATGAACTGTCTCTAATAAAAACTCTGGACTACTGGGCTCAGGTGAGCCTCCCTAGGTAGAAAACATTTCACACATGTGGTAGGGGAATCAAGCATGTCCTGTGTGCCACACTGGGAAATGACTCTTGGAAGCTTGAGTCTAGCTCTCTCCAGACTTCATCCCATGTGCCTTTTCCATTTACTGATTTTGCTTTGCATCCTTTTGCTGAGTCCTGTGAGTCTTTAGTGAATCATAAAGCAGGGGTGATTTGGGGGTTCCTCAACACAATAATGTATAAAATTACCCTCTGTAGAGTTCCAAGTGTCTCAATAAATTGTTATATACACATTAGCAACTTGTAATTAATAATTCTAAGGTGACAAAAGCTAAAGTCCTATATCACTCACGAAATTATTTGCTTTTCGGACTACTAGTGAAATGAAATTCAGAGGATATTTTAACATTCTTTTTCTCAAAGTTCAAATTTGCTCTTTCAACTATAAAAATAATTAATTTGAGATTTTATTACATGGTTGTTATATATCATTTCTATATTATTGAATATATTTGAGATTTTATTTAATTTATATTATTTTCTATATTTGAGATTTTATTACATGGCTGTTACATGTTATTCTGTATTGTATAATTATTTTTAATACCCTCAAAATAAGAGACCCATCCTTATCCTCAAAAACAAACAGAAAAATAAATCCAATTGTAAACTCAAAACAGTCTGCTGTCCATCACATTTAGGTAGTTTTTAAAGTGATATGTTCTTACCATGTGGAGTGATTGTCTGTACAGGCTTAGCGGGAGACCTCACATTCCATATAGTCAAGGTGCCATCTGAATGACTGCAAATAAACTGTTTTCCTTCATGATGCCAAGCCACAGAGTGGATAGCCTATAGAAGAGGGATGAAGAAATCCACTTTTCATTTATTGTTTATTTTTTTAAAGAATTTCATTTTTTTAAAACAAAATTTATTTAAACACCAACCTATTCATAACTCATATTGCCAATTAATTTCCATTTTAAATTTTTTATATTTCCCGAGTTGAAGACAATGTTAATCTTACATTCCTATCAATAATTTAGCCTTCTTGCAATACAATGAGATTTAATAGTCACACTATTTAAATTTTTTACTTTATTTACTCCCTAAACCAGCATAAGGAAGATAT